TTACAACTTTGTCAGGATTAGACGTTGAAAAAGGTGATTTAAAACAACGGACACACACTGTGGGATTAAAAAAAAGATTTGAGGTCTGAAGGCTTTTATCTGGGGACAGGAAACTCCACTCCCCTCTGTTCGAGGCAGCCACAGAGGTGTGGTCAACACACACAAACACACACAAACACACACAAACACACACCCTCTACTTAATGATCCCTTACGCAATACTACTCCACCCAGCCCCCACCCTTTACTAACCCAAACCATGCCCACAACACACATACACACTCACACGGGGCTCTTGCAGGACCCCTCCCCCATCTCCTCGAACCCTCGCCGCCTCTTGTGAACACACTCACGACAACTCTACCTTCACGGAAAGTGTGAAGCGCAGCACCTTTATATCAGCGATGAGGATATTTTCTGTAAGCTGGTGAAACAGTTTGTGAGGTTTCAGGGTCAGAGTATATGGGTCACCCCCTGAAGCCACCACTTCCTCCACACACTCAGTGCTTCTGTTTACTGCAACATTTTACCAACATGAAACGACATTCAGTTTTTCTACTCAACCAAGATCATCAGTAATCATTGAAACATAGGAAATAACCCTCAAAACAGCAACTTTTGATTAAATACATACAACCAGTTCCTGGAATATTTCCGTCTTATCAAGATTTTGTGAATGAAACTGTTTGTTTGGATGCATTGAGAATTTATGAGTGCCAGTATGTAAAGTATATTTGGTGAAGTTTAGATTGGGTTGTAGTCAAGACTACAGTAACCAAGACCAAGACATACCCGAGACCAGAGTGCCCCCAGACAGAGAAAAGACCAAGATATTTAGGGACTGAGACCGAGTCAAGACCAAGACCAAGATATTTAGGGACTGAGACTGAGACAAGACCAAGACCAAGATATTTAGGGATCGAGACTGAGACAAGACCAAGACCAAGATATTTAGGGATCGAGACTGAGACAAGACCAAGACCAAGATATTTAGGGATCGAGACTGAGACAAGACCAAGATCTTGTGTTTAGGGGGTGTGTCCCTCACTTACACTGTAACACCAGGAAGGTTGCAGCCGTAACCGGGGGATAAAAAAAAAAAAAAACTACAAATGAATTGAAGTTATTTGTTCTTTTAAAAAAGAGGAGTTTTACTTCTAATCATAGTAATGATGTGGGAAAACAGCCGATCAGTGGTGGTCTTGACCGGTCTCGATTTAAAATCCAGAGTCCGCCCAGTCTGAGACCAAGTCTGATCTCGAGTAGATTTTCCATCCGTGCTTTTATACTGAGACAAGGTCAGAGGTCAAAATTAAACGGCCTAATAGAGCTTTAACTGTAGCTCATCTTAACAGTGCATGCAAACGTAATGACTGTAACTTTACTAAATGTTGCCGAGTGCTTTGCTCAAAGTGGATTAATGTTGGGTTGGTAACAAAGAGTGCATCTTAGACCTGCCTCTTGTAAAGTGTCTTGAAATTAAAATTTGTTATGAAATGGAAAGCTATAAAAAATAAAGATTGCTTGACCGATTGAACTTCTAGACCATGGATTCATTTTGTTATCAGACGACCGTGTGACTTTAAACAAATGAGGTTGGTGACAGATACAATGGGAATGATGTCACTCCCACACAGAGCTATGTTTACATTGGTATGGTCTACCCAGTTATGTAACATTGTTTGACACAATTTTGCCAAATTAAAGCATGTTAATGATAAATAAGAGGCCCCAACATTGATCCGAGGGGAACGCCACAAATTCAAGAGGCGTGCTCAAATGTAAAAATTCACCGGTAGATATCCGATGTCGTTTGAAACCCTCAATCAATGAAAAATAAAGAGGAGTTATTAAGTAGAAGCTTTTACTACGTGATCAGTTATGTTGAAACAATTCCAGCATCACCACAGCGCCAGAGGCGACATCTTGTTGGCATCTTTGTTAGTGACGGCAGATTGATAATTTCCTCAGAAAAGCACTTCTGCAGAACAAAAGTCAATTTCTGCTGTAAATGACTCATCATCTCACGCATGATCTGGGCCACAACTTGAGCTACGTGTGTTGCAGCTTTTGGTCTGACAAGCTCTGATAACATCAGTTTGTGGTGAAAACGAAAGAAAAACTAGAGAGAGTAGCAACATTCCCCAAATGAAGGGTTGATTTGTTGCTCCGTGCATACCTAAATTTATCTGCTAAGGTTCAAACTTGTCAGGATAATTTGCCAAACAATCCTAAATTCTTACATTTCTGACTGCAGTGGGGGTTTAGTCAAATCAAATCAAAGTCTCAGCTTTTTAACGGTTTTATGACAGGTCAAAGTTCATGATCCGGACATAAAATGCTACTACAAATGTAACTAGACGGACACATACTGATAGTCAAACGTTTCAACTTCATAATGAACAATATAAATAACAAATTGAGACAGAACATGATCTCCTTTCAGCTGGAAAAAAGAGTCTCAGCGGATCAAGAATGTCTGAATCTTTTAGTCGCTGCAAAGGTAACATGGATTCTTTATGTCCCCGTTTAAAGCGATTTATCTGCAAAGCAATTACTTTTGCAAGACTCCAATATTACACACACCAAAGCATCTTTCACATTTGGACAAGCTGAAAATATTGCAATGGAGGCCTGATCTTTCTGATAACACACCAATGTCTGAACCAGATCCTAAATCAAAACTATGGTAGTCGAGTCAGAAACATCCAGAAACACCAAAACTTCATTAAGCTAAGTCTATCATGACCTCGCTCTGTCTTGTGTTCTGGCTCTTTATTATGATATCCCTACACTCTCTGCAGCCGGCTCGGTGTCAGCCCCGTTTGTCAAACCTGGCGTCTAAACAAATTTAACTTGGCCTGAGCATGCCTTGACCTGGAGGCATAATTTTGACTGTTGTGTGCAGTTGTTTTGGAAGCGATAAAACAGATTGGAATAAATGTTTTGTGCTATGTTTTGAGCTCAAGCAGAGTAGGGTTAAATACCCCCCCCCAAAAAAAAAAAAAATCAAAGGCCTGATTCAGACAATCCATAAATTATCTACTGCAAAGATTATTTCCCCATTAAAACATTTCAATCTAATGTGTTGCCACAGACAACAAACATCTTGCCGCTTGCCCTCCAGTTGCATGTTAGCATATTTAGCTTTCCCATTAAAACCAAAGGGAGCAGTTAGCCTCAGCATACCTCCATGGTACTCATTGACATAATCCTGCTGTGCAACTTTCCTTATCCGTCCACATCCTCCTTACAATCTCTCCTCTTGCCTTGTTTGTCGCCTCGCCTCCAATTACCTCGTTTCCCTCCACATGTTATTTTTTCTTCTTCACCTGCCACTCTTCAAAACTCCCCCATCCTTCTCCCAATCCAGCTGACGCCTCTCTCCTCCTCCCTCGCTCAGTCTGTTTTCTGGGTTAATGGCTGCCATGGCGACAGGCCTCACCTTATCATTACCGCTCACACCCTTTTTATTCTATGGCCTCTCCTGTCTCCCATTATGACTGCCAACGTGGACCTACCTATCATAACACGGGAGCTAGAAATGTCAAAGCTGTAGCAACACGCCAGCTCAGCCGTGGCGGCATTGCAAACACTCCAAAAGTATGTATTATTTATGATTATACTTAATTATCATTCATAAAGTGTTGCCACAAATAATCGTTGAGTCCTTAATCAGCCAGCAGACAGACGCTCTTACTGTGAGATGGTTTGGTGTCCTCCATTAGCCAGTTAGCTGAGCATCATTAGAGACATTTTGAAGAACATGATGTGTCTGTTTGGAAGACAAAACAACCAGAATTTCAGGAGTTCAGGATTCAAGACGAAGCACATGAACCTCCTGATGTCATCAAACTGACTGAGAGCTTCTCCTGATTCAGGACAAAAAACAACAACAACAAAATCAACAGGCCAAGATATTCAGCTATGACCAAACGTTTTCACTTCATCGTATTCGAATATTCAGAGGCAAGATGTCTGGCCTCTGCAAACTCTGTGTATTTTACAGTCATGTACACCTTGTTTTAAGCCAAACTAAATAACAACAACAACAACAATGCAGTCTATAGAGGCTGGAGGAACATTTGTAAATATATTTTTAAGGTCACTTATTCTGCTAAATCCTCTTCTCCATGTTCCTCTAACTCTAACATGTGTCTCTAGTCTACAAACCCCCCCAATGATGAAAAGTCCATCCTCTCTGTCTTCTGCCTGCTCCACTTTTCAGAAAATGTGTGCTCAAACAGGCCGTTTGGAGATTTTCCCTTCATGACATCACAAAGGGCAGTAGCCCCTCCGTAAACAATAGGACATGGAGCGAGAAAGCACCGAGTACACCCAAGCCCTTCCAGAGAGGGGGCGTGGTCAGACACAGCTCATTTACATATTTAAAGGTACAGACACAGAAACAGCCTGTTCTGAGCAGGGCTGAAATAGAGGGGTTTATAGACATGATCAAATACAGGATCAGAGTGGATTTAGAACAAGAAACTTCACACACATGTTGAAGAGGAGCTCTGAGACTTATTTAAACTGAAGAAGAGGAGGAGGATATGTAACCTTTAAGTAACAGTGGTGCCCTATGTTGTCATGAGCATCAACACTTTCTATACCTCATGTTTACTATGACAGAATAAAGTAATTTATTACACAGCCGTGTTAAATACTTGATTCTGTCACTCGATTGATCACCGGCATCAAGAAGAACCAACCGTTACTATGGAGAGCAGCCGGTTGCTAGGGATGCGACTCTTATCACAGACTCTGGAGAAATCTACAAAACTGAAGATGGTGCATTAAGTCATCCTCTGCAACGACCATTTCAATTACAAAGTCGTCCATTCAGGTGTCTCTGCTCATCAACACAGAGGGAGAGTAACTGTGTATGTATGTGTGAGCATGTTAAAAGTCCAGTTAGCAACATTAGCACCAGCGCTAGTTTGGCTACATCTGCCATCGCACTAATCTCATATAAACTAAGGAGACAGCGTTGCACTATGACATCAAACGGAGGAGAAACCGGTGCACAGCGTGACGTCACAAGAACTAAACTCTGTTTTCCCCCGTCTACACAGAAACACCTTAAACTGAGTTCCTGAACATCTTCACCCTGTAAGGAGTTTTACTAAAGGAGAGTTTACAGTGACTTAAAACGAGGCCGCAGAGTGAAGCCCAGCAGAGGTTTTTCAAAATGATTCACACACTCTCGTTAGGGTGCATTTAGTCTGTCATGACCTCTGACCTCTTCACGATTTGAATCGCCCGTTCCGCTGACGCCTTTCCTGAGTGTCACTCGTGGATTAAAAACAAACAAAAGGTCGTCGCTGCAGCCGCTCGAAATGCAAAACACCCCCGACAACAACGCAAATGTCAACCGGCTATGACAGCAATGAAGTGTTTGTGCATGAAGTGTGTGGTTTCATTTTTTTCAGCCGTCATTACGACAACCTGCTCCTCTGATGCTCCTTCACTTCACTGACGTTGCTTCAGACTCATCCTGTTCTAACATCCAGAGAGAAGTCTGTCAGACACATTTACATGCTCTGGTCATCAACTCTGAAGACGCAACAGATACTGAGCACAATGAGCGTGCATGTTTCCTTTTTGAACCACTGCATCCAGATGTTTCCCTCACTTCTTCAAAAACAGCTGAACGTGCAGAATCATCCATAAAGCAACCGCTGTGAGACACCTTAAGGCAGGGTTATTTTTGAAAGTAGCATTCCCTCAGTGCGCCGTCTGCACCCCTCCCCTCTGTGCTCCCTCAGAAGCCACGCCCCCTCACTTACATGCACAGAGCGCCGTTGCTCCAGAAGTGGACCTCAGCTCATCGCTTTGAATGAGGGCTCGTTCATGCATGTGGTAGAGAGCGAGCAGGGAGACAGGGAGGCGTCTGATTGGTTCATCAGATTGGTACCTCGTGGCAGACATTGGTTGAAGTTTTTACAGACTTACAAACTGATACAGATGACTGATTTTCTTTGTTCCTTTTCCAGAGAACATGAGTTATTCATTTCTGTCAGGACCTAAAGACAATTTACACCAGAATCTTTAAAAAGTGGATCTGGAGGAAATGACCAACCCTGACTTTAATCTTATGTAATCAATGAGTCTGATTTTTAATCCTCAGTGTGATCTCGACCTGATTGCACATGTCTGAGAGGAGGTGATGTGTGTCGTCAGCCACACCTAGCCACACCCACCTTCTCATCCATCCTCCTGCTCGTCCACTCGCACACTCTCCACCACCATCACCTCAGAGAGAAACCCCACCTCCCCCTCCCCCTCCTCACCGTGCACTCCATCTCCTCTGGCTCTGGTTTGATCTGTACGGAGGGCATGTCTGTCCCGCCCTCTTCCTCCTCCTCCTCCCTCGGTTCCTCCTCTTCCTCCTTCTTCTTCTTCTTCAAAGACTGTGACGCCACTTCCCCCTGCTCCTCCTCGCCTGCTTCCTCTTCCTCTTCCTTCAGTGGCGGCCGAGGCCTGGTCACCGGCTCCTCCTTCTCCTCCTCCTCTTGCGTCGGCGGCGGTGATGCTGACAACGGCGGCGGCTGCTGAGTTAGTGCGCTCTGCTTGGCCGGGCTCCTCCTCTTCTTTTTCTGGCCGCCGGCGGCACTCTTCTTCTGCTTAGGAGTCGACTGGCACTGAGGAGGAGGAGAAGAAGAAGGTGAGACCTCTAACACATTCAAGAAGAAGAAGGTAAGAGAGGAGGTGAGAAGGGGGGCGGTTAAAGAGAAAAAGAAAAGAAAAAGAAAAGAGGGGAAAGGGGGAAAATATCAGAGAACAACGGGGGAAGGAAGGCTGAAAAAAAGAAACTTCTAGGCCAGGGGAGAAGGATGAAAAGAGGGGATTTGTGAGAGGATATGAAGGAGGAATGGGGAGTTAAAGAGGGGTGAGGGGGGATAGAGAAGGAAGCACAAGAGGGGGAAGGAAACTGTGAAATCATGGAGGGGAGGAAGACAGGTAGGAGAGGAAGCAAGACAGGAAATGGCAGGCTAGAGTTTGTAGGGGGGAAAAAAACACATGACAACAAGCATTACCTCTGCTCTAAGAGCTGGTCCAGAAAAAAAAAAAAAGGAGAGACCCTTCTCAGAAATCAGCCACAAGGGGGGGTAAGAACACACACACACACACACACACACACACACACAACACACACACACACACACACACACACACACACTCTGGTTTAAACAGAGAGATAGAAATTAAGGCTAAAAAGAGAGACAGAGGAGGCAGAGAAACAAAAGGCCTAATCCTGAGGCTGCCAGTGAGGGAATGAGAGCAAAAGAGAAATAACAGAGAGAGAGAGAGAGAGAGCGAGCGAGCGAGAGCAGGGAGGAGTAGCCGTGAAATGACCCCTCCCTCCCTTTCAGCAGCAGGCAGGCGGACACACCCTTTTCTGGAAGCTGAGAGAGAGAGAGAGGTGTGGGGAGTGCCGAGGCAGAGGGACGCACACACACACACACACACACACACACACACACACACACACACACACACACACTAGTCATGCACACACCCTTTTTCTTCTTCTCTGTCTCTATGTTCACTTCCTTTAACACAGAATGTATTTCACTGTATCTGAAAACAACAACAACAAAATAAAAACTCTATCAAATAAAGACTGGAAGAGGATAAACGTCTACAGCTGTGAAGAGTTCCTCTGCTCATGAGGAACCTGAATGTGATGATTTCACACCATGTGTGAGTGCAAACAGACAAACTCTGAGGAAGACGCAGTGCTTCCAAACATCAGTCCTTTGTAGTGCTGTAGAAGGTCTTGTCTCGGTCTCAGACTGGGCGGACTCTGGATTTGAAATCAAGACCGGTCAAGACCACCGCCTCGTTTTAAAAGAACAAATAACTTCAAGTCATTTGTAGTTTGATTTGTATCCCCCGGTTACGGCCTCAACCTTCCCGTTGTTACGGTCTGAGTGAGGGACACGCCCCCTAAACACAAAATGAGGATTGTTCTGTGATATTTATGGTCTTGGTCTCACCCTGCCTTGGTCCTGGTCTTGGTCTTGTCTTGGTCTCACCCTGCCTTGGTCTTGGTCTTGGTCTTGTCTTGGTCTCACCCTGCCTTGGTCTTGGTCTTGGTCTTGTCTTGTCTCACCCTGCCTTGGTCTTGGTCTTGTCTTGGTCTCACCCTGCCTTGGTCTTGGTCTTGTCTTGGTCTTGGTCTCACCCTGCCTTGGTCCTGGTCTTGGTCTCACCCTGCCTTGGTCTTGGTCCTGGTCTTGGTCTCACCCTGCCTTGGTCTTGTCTTGGTCTCACCCTGCCTTGGTCTTGGTCTTGGTCTTGGTCTTGTCTTGGTCCTGGTCTTGGTCTCACCCTGCCTTGGTCTTGGTCTTGGTCTTGGTCTCAGAGCACTCTGGTCTCAGGTATGTCTTGGTCTCGTCCTTTACACCTAAATAAATGTGCATTAAGTGATTGATGTTGCTCCAGTACTTTCTTTGGATCCGGCCTGAGAGGAGGATCTGTTCCCTCTGTAGGAACGGTTTCTGTTTTTCTGATTTTGACTTCACGCTGTTATCCGCTGTGTGACCTCTGTTGAACTACACGAGTGGAACTCACATATAAAAAAAACGACTTCCCTTCCCGTTCTCTGTCTTTTTCTTCCTCTTTGAGCTCGCTTGATGCCGATGTGACCGTGGTTAACGCCGAACTGTCAGAGGAATATTTTAAACTTGTGGTTTTTTTGAGACGAAGTCTGTGAGCTCTGCGCGTCCACACATTCAGCTCTCTACAAGTTAAAGTGGACGTCTTCACACGACATGATGTGTGTTCAGAACCTGTTCAGAGTAACGGGAGGCCGACAGAAAACGAGGGGTCACCATGGCGACGTATTGATCGGGTCAACGTGTGCGTGCAAGCTTGAAACAGGAAGTGATAGAGAAACCACTTTGCATGTTTTCTATCTTTTCCATGCTGCAGGAGATTCTCAAATACCCAAACTAAATCTCTACTTCCTGTAGGCGGTAAAGGCCCTGCTGTCCGTCCTGTGATATGTATTTTTTGCAGTCTGGGAAAAGTGTTCAGTCAACAAATAATAAATCAAAGCAGTATCAGAGGTTTTGAAATCAACGACACAACGCTGGTTTCAAACTTTTTTACACATGTTTCTGAGCTGAGCAGCATGTGTGAACGCCCCCCCCCCCCCACACGCATTTACCACGCATGACCCACAGCAGGAAATATTCAGGAGAATCCACGGTGAGCAAGAGGGTGGAGGTGATGACGTTATATCACGAGACCTGGGTCATCACTGTTCATGTCACCGAGCTGCTTCCTCCTCTTTTCATCCAACCAGCGAGTTCTTTCTACTCGTTTGTGGATACTTTGGATATGATATATATAAAGACAGAAACTGTTATTATGGTGTCAGACTGGGTAGCTTTGTCGGCCATCTTGGATTTGCAAAAGCATTTTATTTTTTTGTCTTAAGTGGACAGTACAGGAAACTTTGGGTGTGGAGAGCAGCAAAGGGAAGCAAATATCCTGCAAACCCACATGCATCATATTTACGTTATGTCTTTAGCTCCTCCCCTTCCCTCCTGTCCAACAGAGAAAACTTCACGCTGTGAAGAACATAAATCAGCAGCTCAGGAAGATTTCAGGGTCAACCTGTGCAAATTTCAGAAGTGCAGGTTTGTGTCGAGTCGTTTGATGCATCACCAAAACAATGGCAGAGGATCAGCGAGAAAAGCTGCTCGAAGAACAGTCGCATGAATGCACAGGTATTTCCAGAATACTTTCCTCATCTAATATTGGCTTTACAGAGATATATAATACAACAATCAGAAAAACAAGCCACATCTGAGAGGCTGAAAAAGACAATTATTTTTGTTTTTCAAATTTTGAATGAAAATGAAAACACTTTGCCGTCTTCACATGTGCACTCCTGAACATTTTTAGAAACCTTTAAACAAGCCCTGTTGTGACTGTCTGTTCAAGCCGCGGTCTTTATGCCCCTGTGAGGTATCGCCGTCAATCTGAGGTGTTATGAGGGGGACGAAGTGATCCCCCCCTCTTTACCGTCTTCAGAGACAGGATGAGCTGAGCCAGCAGGGGAGAGCAGCGCTGTGTGTTTGTGCACGTCTGACGTGTATGTGGAGCTCCTGCAACACTGAAATGCAACGGGGAATCTCAGACTGGGACACTATTACACCGATGTGGAATCAATATGAACGTACAAACATGACGACAGCTCAGCTTAGTTACAGCAGTCTGAAAAGGGCTGCAGATTCAGATTGTCCCTGAAAGCTTCCTGAGCTGCTTCTTCACACATTCAGCTCACAGCAGGAGGCTTTCCCTATAGGGTAGGAGGAGAGAGGTCGGGGGGGCAAGGAGGCAGGACAGGATGTACAAAGAGTGACCAGGAAGTGAGGAACAACATCACAACCTCAGAGTCTAACGTGTAGTTCCACACTCTCCAGATATCAACACAGAAAACATAATGAAAAAAATTCATTACAAGAGTGGAGATCGCACCATTGAGCACCAAGTCGCAGGATAACATCTTCACCCCCCTTCAGCTTGCTCGAGATGAACGCTCTCACATCAGCTCAGAAGCAGAAAATCTACAACGGGGGCTGGAGGGGAAAACTGCAGGTAAAGTCGGCTGTTTGTGTTCACACATTGAAGCTCAGTCGTACAGTTTCAGGAACTTTTCAGGTGTGTTGTGAATGCATGAAAAACACATTTGATTGGCTGATTTGTCCACTAACTGTCTCTTATAATTCCTGAATGTTGGGAGTATAAAACTCTTGGGTTGAATGTTGGATTAAGAAAACACAGGGTGTAAGAAACCTCAATTTCATCCACTACATTTCAAATGTTTTTAACATGAACCTATGAGCAGGATGTTGATACAAGCTTTACAAAGTTCTGATAAAATAAAATAAAGTAAATAAAGTAAAGATAGCCTCAGAGCAGAAAGTCTTTCTTACTTTGTGCAGAATCCAGAGCTGAGTGAAACCATGACGACACAAACAGCTCGGCCCAAAGAGATGACATAATCGCTGACTTTCCCACTCTGATAGCAGCGACTGTTTTATGACTCTCTCTCTCTCTGTCTCTCTCTCTCTCTCTCTGTCTCTCTCTCTGTCTCTCTCTCTCTCTCTCTCTGTCTCTCTCTGTCTCTCTCTCTGTCTCTCTGTCTCTGTCTCTCTCTCTCTCTGTCTCTCTCTCTCTCTCTCTCTCTCTCTCTCTCTGCAGACACACTGGGAGCACTGGTGGGCTGGTACAGCCTGACTTGTGACCCAGCTCAGTGGATTCCACAGCGAGGTGTGGCCTCAGCCAATCAGCCTGGGTGTGGCTGCATGCACCACCCCTCCCCCCTCTCTCACACAGACACACACACACACACACACACACACACACACACACACACACACACACACACACACACAGACACACACACACACACACACACACACACACACACACACACACACACACACACACACACACACACACACACACTGTGGACTCTCAGGCCAATTGTGAGAGGACAGAGCCCCCTCTGTGTTTCTAAACAAAGGTAAAGGCAGTTTGATGTCACACCTTCCCCCCAACCGACAACACACACACACACACACACACACACACACACACACACACACTTTTTCTCTTCAGGTTTCTCTTTTGTGTGTCACAGGAAGTTGAACCGACAGTCGGAGAGACGCGTCAGGTTATTTGATTTCTGGCACATAATACAGAAGTTTGCAGAGCTGCCATTGGTTCAGACGCTGATCTCTAACCAGGAAAAGAAGCACGATCTACTGATGCTGTGTCACGATATCTGGTAAAGAGTATTACAGAGTGTATGTCATTCACTTGAGAAAATAAAACTCTGCACAGTTTTTCTCAATCAATGAGATAATTATTCCTGAATTGGAAGAAAAGTTTTTATGACAAACGGGGACGGGACAATTATCAACAGATTTACAGGAAAAAGATACAAATCTGCTGTTTTCTGAAGAGAGGAAATGCCAGTTCAAGATCCCAACAGAAGCTGTCACTTCTTAAAGAGGACCGACTGTTTAGTTTACAACTCGAGTCTTTAAGTAACGTCTGGTCTGCTGGACGTTGTCTCAGGAGGAAAGACAGGATGGAAAAAAAGAAACTGTTGATGATTCAAGATGGCCCCCGAATCAACTGTCTGTCTTTAGATCAATGCTACAGGATGTTTGAGTTATTCACAGGACTGAGTGGAGGATTCATGGCGTGCAGAAAAGAGTATGATGCTGCTAAATCAAGTGTACGAAGAACCGCACCGCACGCTCACTCACCAGGGAAGTGATATAAAGGTCATCCCACCTGTGCTGGGGGCGGGCTTTATCAGCTTACCTTGACTTCTCATGGAAATGTGACTCAATCAATCCAGATTTTTTTTCAAAATACAAATTCATAACAAATGTTATCTGAAGACAGAGTAGGTCGACACCTGT